CTTACCGAGTTCTGGACCATATTATCACGAATCAGCTATAGCCAATCTTGATGGCGTCGAAGGAACAGGAACGCACTGGGTGGCTTATCGCAAAATCGGAAAAAACGTCACATATTTCGATAGCTTTGGAGATCTTAGACCACCTATTGATTTAATGATGTATCTTGGCGATATCGAGATCAAATATAATACGAAAAGATATCAAGATTTCAATTCTCACGTATGTGGTCATCTTTGCTTACAGTTTTTGTGCGAGGGTATAAAAGTAAAGGCAACGTGAAAATATCGGTAGTCATGTTCACACAGTCATGGAGGATTCGTTAACTCTGACGCTCTCGGGTAATTCTTCACTGTTGGAAGCGCACTATTTCCCACCAATCGAACTATCACAGCATAAACATTACAAGTTGGGCTTAGTCGAGTTTCTAACGTTCAACTCGATACCTAATATCGACGTAGATAATAATAAATTTCACGTCGCAAATCAAATTATCGACATACCTGTCGGGACCTACGAGATCGACGACATTGATAAATTTCTTCGCAAAGCTGTGCAGCCTCTCCGTACTGATAATAATAATAATATAATATTTAGTTCGAAACCAAACAACAACACCTTGCATTGTACAATCAAGTGTTCCGAACCTATCGATTTTCGTCCGCAGAATTCTATCGGACGATTGTTGGGTTTTTCACAACGATCATTAGAGGCAAACGTTTCTCACAACTCTGATCTTCCCGTCAGTATTCTCAGAGTGAACGCTGTGAGAGTCGAGTGTAATATAACCGCTGGAGCTTACTTGAACGGAAACACCGTTCACGATATTCACGAATTTTTTCCAGCAGTACCACCTGGATATAAAATTATTGAAATTCCCTCTCGCGTAATTTATCTTCCAGTTACGAAAAAGTCTATAGATTATTTACAATTACGCATCGTCGATCAAGACGGAAATTTAATTAATTTTCGCGGTGAAGTTATAACCATCAGATTACACCTCAAAAGCGTATAATGGGAATTGTTTACGATTCAAAGAGTGATAGGGACTATATAAGCATTGAAAAATGCAAACCCATCATCAGTCGTCGACAGAAATTGAAAACGTCAACACGACGAACTCCAGTCATCAATCGTCATCGGAAAGCGAAAGCTTTAACACGTCAAAGCATAAAGTTCCTAAAAAGTCTTGGGTTAAGAGTAGTTCCAGGTGGAAAATAAATTGCCTAATTTTTTCTTTTTGCTGCTGCTTTCAACGAAACAATGGAGAACATTCTAGAAATACAGTCACCTGTCGTCCTCAATGAATCTTTGGCTCATTACGAGATCCACGCTCATCAACCTTACACCAATTCATCGTTCAAAAATAGTGACGAGATTCGTATATTAATTCAACATCAAGACTTGTGCCTTTTACCATCTCGCAGCTCGTTACACATTTGTGGACGATTACGCAGCAACAATAACACTTTGTTAACGAATACTGATTTTGTTAATAATGCCATTTGTCAAATGTTTGAAAAAATTAGGTATGAGCTGAATGCTATAGAAATAGATAAATGTAAGAACGTTGGTCTCACAACTGTTATAAAGAACTGGTTATCTCTCACTCCAAGTCAAACCTTGATTGCCGAAAATGCCGGATGGATAAATACCTTAGAACAAGAGGACCGTAATATAACTAATGCGAATGGCGATTTTGACATTTTGATTCCTCTGAGCTTCATACTTGGATTCGCTGAGGATTATCGCAAAGTGCTAGTGAATATGAAACATGAATTCATTCTCGTAAGATCGAGTACTGATTTAAATGCAGTTTATCAAACGAAGAAGACCGTGGCCAACGTTGAAGCTTACGAAGAATTCAAGATTAATGTAACACGTCTCGAATGGCTTATGCCCTATGTGACTGCATCGAATGCAAAGAAAATACGTCTACTCGACTTTCTAAAAAGCGAACGAAGTATTTCAATGAGTTTTCGTAGTTGGGAACTGTATGAATATCCAGCGCTGCCTGCAAACACAAATCACGTCTGGACAGTTAAAACGACAAATCAGTTGGAGAAACCACGCTACGTTATCTTAGCCTTCCAAACCAATCGAAAAAATGAACCAAACTCTAACGCTAGTATATTTGATTATTGTAACATCAGAAATGTAAAACTGTACCTCAACTCTCAGTGCTATCCATACGGTAATCTCATCATTGATTTCAGTAAAAACCAGTACGGAATGTTGTACGATATGTATGCCAATTTTCAAAACGTATACTACGGTAAGGATGCCGAACCGATGCTCAAAAAACTCGAATATAAAAATTACATGCCACTCGTAGTGATTGACTGTTCGAAACAAAACGAATCATTAAAGACTGCTCCAGTAGATGTGCGCTTGCAGTTCGAAACCAGAGAAAATATTCCCGAAGGAACTACAGCGTATTGTCTTATTCTACACGATCGCATCGTTCAGTATAATCCGATAAATGGAGATGTGAAGAAACTTATTTAGGAGAGGGGAAGGGTATTAAAGAATTGACTCTTTCCTTAAGCAGCTCAGTAGTAGCTTTCTATCACAATGGAGTACGTAGTGGATATGCAAGGCTTCATGATGCCTGGCAAAACTTATGCCGTGAAAGAGTTAGCGATACTCCCACTTAACTACAACGAAGAACCGCTCGTACGCTTGTTCAAACCTCCCTTTCCATGGCGAAGGCTAACGGAGAAATATAAGCGAGAAAATCTCTGGTTAGAACTCTACTATCATGGATTAACATGGAACTGTGGCGATTATAAATACGAAGAGCATAAATTCATCATCACAGATACACTCAAAGATGCCACAAAAATTTTTGTTTCCGGAGATTTGAAAAAAGAGTAGTTAGAACGATATGGCCTCAAAGTTTTCGATTTGAATGATTGGGGCTATTCGCCTTTCGAAAAATTAAAATTAGTTACCGTGTGCCCTAATCATAACGGCAAATACGTAACGACATGTGCACATCAAAACGTTAAAATAATGAAAAAGTTTTATATTGATGGCTGTTGTATGGATTGGGAAGAGAGCGATGAAGTCGTTGAAGGATTTCTATAGTGATTTCGTTTTTAAGTAAATACTTTGTAGAATAATATGTATTTTTTTAAGAACATGTAGAATAAGATATATTTTTTATCAATAAAAAAATTTTTGTTTCAATTGATACAAAAAAATATTCTTTTATTTTTTATTAAACCATCCAAAAAAAGCGAAATTCTTCGCTGACTCTGACGATGATAGCAGCAGCAGCAGCAGTTCATCTTTTTATAATAAATGTTGTATTTTTTTATCAACAAAAAAATTTATACAACATAGAATTTAGACAAAAAAAATGTTTATTTATTAGTTGAGGTGGTGTACAATGATGACATGTATAAATATGATTATTTCTTCTTTTCGTTATTGAACTGCTGATAGCCTTTTTGTTCAGGAAAATTTTTAGTATTGCTCGAAAATTTGGACATACTTTGTTTCCATGAAGATGATTCTTTGTTCTTCTTTTCGTCCAGGTCTTTCTGTGGAAGACGAGAGTACTTTACTTTAGAGTAGCGATCCATTTTATGTGAATGCTGGTTGATGAAAGATTCGATAATTCTTACACTGTGCTATTTATAGTAGCTTACAACCACGAAGTCTACAAATAAAAGAAAGTAAGCAGGTACTTGCACGTTTTTTCTATTAAACCATCTTCGGTAGATGAGACACGCATGCACGCATACAAACGCGCGCCCGCGCGCACACATCGAACATAAAAAAATTATTATTCGTTATATACTAATTATAATTAGTATATTTATTAAAATTTATTATCATTTGTATGTATTAACGCTTGGACCCTCCCAGCAGCAGCAGCAGCAGCCGTCAGCGCCGCCGCCGCCGCCGCCGCCCCCCACATATCAATCGTGTGTGTAGCTAGTATACACAATACGGTATTGCCCGCGGTAACAGTGGCTGTAGCTCTAGCGGTAGAGCATCGGCCTGCGGATCCGGAGGACGCACGTTCGATCCCCCGATCCGTCCGTTTTTTTTCAGATAAATCTAAAAATTTTTAACACACGCACACACATGCGCGCACACACACACACACACACACAATAAAAAAATCAAAACGCGTAACACAGAACGCGCGCGTAGTGCATAGGAATCAAATTAGTGGGAGAGGGGGAAGTGCTGCAGAGAACGCACGCCACATCAGATCAACTCAGTAGGGGAGGGGGAGTGCGTAGAACGCACCGGTATAACTCAGTAGGAGGAGGGAGAGGTGACGCGCGCATAGGAATCAAATCAGTAGGAGAGGGGGAAGAACGCACGCCACATCAGATCAACTTAGTAGGGGAGGGGGGAGTGCGTAGAACGCACCGGTATAACTCAGTAGGAGGGGGGGGAGTCGCCAGCGCACGGACCGATCGGGGGGGGGGGGGGGGTGAGGTGAACATGCACACGCTTCAACTCAGTGAGCTGATACCCCTCTGAGTTGAGGCCCCTCTCGTTTACCTACTTTCGACAACCTCCATACAGTTCCGACATAGCCTCTTGTAACTTTTGGCTGTTTCCAAAACTAAAAAAACCACTCAAAGGACACTGATTCGATGACAAAACAACGGTTGAAAACAATGCGACGAGTGTACTTAAGGCTATCCCTAAAAGTGAGTTCCAGGACTGTTTTGAAAAGTGGAAACATCGATGGAACCGTGTTATTCAATCAAGTGAGGATTACTTTGAAAGGATGCCACCCACAAGATGATAAAGAATAACGCTAGCACGAAAATATAAAGGTAGGTCCGATACTTTCCGGACAGACCTCGTACATCTTCGATTTTCGGATGTTAGTATTAATTTCACCCTTCTTTTGAGTCACCAAGGTTCTTAATAAAATAAAGTATATGTCGAGTACTGATAAAAAATTTAAATAGTTAGAGAATTAAAGAACATGTTAATAAAAATTAAATTGAGCAAATAGGTTACTCACTCGTCCTTCTTGATGATTGCACATGTCCCACATAGGTATTAGACTATAGACCATTTCCGAGCCATTTTTATCAGGGATTAAATTCTGTCTAGTCATGACAGTAGATACTGCCCATCTAAAATTAGTATTTTATTGTATCAATTTCTATATATATCTATAAGTGAGTGATCTATAAAGGAGTCTACTTGTTTTTAAATTTTACTTAGTTAAATCCGCTGAGAGTTCGCGAAAGATTAGTTTAGAGAAGGAAGTAGGATTAGTGCAATAAATTGACAAGGGTACTTGAAATTCTATTATATTTAGAAATTTAATCAACGTATGCTAAATAGACCGCACTGACGCTCGTCAAGGGCGTAAAAAACCCTAGTCGTGAATAGTCGCTGTTTTACACCTCAATACACACTAAGAATTATTGTAGATCAAAGCAGAAATTATCGGACTTCTGTCTGCTAGAACTCAAATTCTACGAATTCTATATACCTATAATACCGGTATTACTATTGCTAATCTCAAATTACGTCTATAACTCGTGAATTATGATATTATATATGAGTTATATTATAAAATTTGATACTCTACAGAATCGGATGCGCTACTGAAAATATGATATTTATTTACTATCAATTAGACACAATAATTAAAAAAATCTAGAGCAAAAGCAAGAGTAACGAGATTATAACAATGCAAACATGGCATAATTTTTGGACAATGAAAAACACATTCGTTCTTCATGATTTTTACAGAAACAGGTAATTCAACACTTCCACAATACGATACTTTAAATATTAAAAAGTGTATAAGATTTAAACGGAAAAATGGAATTTTATCAATTTGAAACACAAGTATGTGATGAAAATAAATATTCCCGCATTCAACCATGGTAAAAACTCTCTCCTCGTGCACGTAGGTATAGCAGTGTAAATGAGCATTGTTTGGATAGTTCGTGATAAAAGGGTTGAACATTTCTATAACGTAGTTTTCCGACACTCATCTTTCATTCGATTTGTATGAAATATAATAAAAATAAGCACTACCCAAAATAAGATGGATGCTAGTCACAGATATTTTAAAGATGATACGCAATACAAAGGTGTGAAAACAGCAGTAGCCAATAATTAGATAAGTGGTTGACAACACAGAAGTTACAGTACTAAATACAGATGTGTACGAGGTGTTTTCAAAAGTAAGGTGAATTTTATAACGAGTGGCTAGACCATCGTTATGTCTCTCTCTCTATACATAATTATAATTATCCTCATATGTATATGTATACTTATCATGTATTTATTTCACATGTATGGCAGCCAAAGTAAGTCAGAGAGAGCGCTAATAGAGGGCGAGCTAGAGAGAGAGAATTCGGGAAGCCGGCGCGACGCGCGCGAGAAGGAGAGTGGGGCAGGAGAAAGCCCCGCGATAAGAACTCTCTCTTGTACCGGCGACTTCGAAGCACGTGGACGTGCGGCGAGCGGCTATACACGTGCTTGCGATCTTTTGCTATCCGACTTTTCGTGACTAACTTTTTGTGACTGACATTTCGGTTGCCTGCGAATACGCGAGTGTCCACTCGGTGTGAGGTTTCGGTGCCGAGATTGCCCCTAGTGCCTTTGGTGGGCTAGTTCCTGCGACCACGCGTGCGAGCCTTTAAGGCCGCCCGCCTCTTGACTGCATCCGAGCTGCACACTGCGCGTCCTCGCGAGCCACGTGCGAGGCTGAGGATATCGCCTGCAGGGCTAACGCCGAGACATTATTGTAAGTACCATCTTGAATGTGTGTCTCTCTCACTAGCTTTTCGCCGCTCTCTCTCCCGCTTACGCTGCGTCCTAATTCTGTACCTTTCTCTGTAGTAAACTCTATGCTTTTGTATATCTGCTCTCTTTCTCTGTGCCTTCTTTACCTATCGTAATCAATCCCGCTCCGTCCGGCTCTCGCCCCTGAATTTCGTGATCGCTCAAAAGCGCCCATAGGACCACACGACGCTCTCTGCGGGCTAAGGTGACAGACGCTGTACCACGCCGTTTCTGTTGCTGCCGGGTTAGGCTTTGCGCAGCCTATTACGAGGCCAACCTCGAGCTGTTTCTAATTCCCTCGTAAATTATATATCAAGTGACCCGCGCTGGGTCAAAACCCCGTTATAATTTTTATTTTTATGAAAAAAAATTTATTTATTTATCAATATTTATATTGTCCCCTTCAAAGTAATCTCCCTCAGATACAATACACTTATGCCAACGGTTTTTCCAATCCTCAAAGCACTTCTCATAAGCACTTTTCGGTATAGCCTTGAGCTCTTCCAGCGATGCAGTCTTTATCTCTTCAATCGTTGCAAATCTCCGTCCTTTCATAGGTCTCTTTAGTTTTGGGAACAAGAAAAAGTCACATAGGGCCAAATCCGGTGAATATCGGGACTGAGGCATGATTGTAGTGTTGTTTTTGGCCAAAAAATCTCTCACAAGCAAAGATGAGTGAGCAGGGGCATTATCATGATACAAAAGCCATGAATTGTTTTTCCACAATTCTGGGCGTTTTCTTCGTATTGCTTCTCGCAAACGGCGCATAACTTCAACATAATACTCTTTATTGACCGTACGACCTTGTGGTAAGAACTCTTGATGTACTACGCCACGATAATCAAAGAAAATAGTGAGCAAAACCTAGACATTTGATCGAACTTGACGTGCTTTTTTCGGTCTTGGCTCTTCTGGAGTCTTCCATTGGAACGATTGGGCTTAAGTTTCAACGTCATAACCATAAACCGATGATGCGTCATCAGTTATGACTCTTTTTAGCATATCAGAATCATCATTGACGTCGTTTAACAACTCTTGAGCGATGCTCCTTAGACGGTCTTTTTGTTCAAAATTAAGCAGTTTCAGAACAAATTTTGTTGCTACACGTTTCATGCCCAAAACATCGGAAAAAATTGCATGGCTCGAACCAACAGAAATGCCGACGTCTTCAGCCACTACTCTAATAGTGATACGACGATTTTTTAAAACCATTTGTTTCACTTCTTCAACACTTTTATCAGTTATTGAAGTGCTAGGGCGTCCAGAGCTAGGTTCGTCGTTGGTGTCTTCTCAGCCATCTTGAAAGAGCTTATACGACTTGTAAACATTTTTTTTACTTAAGGTAGACTCACCGTATGCCACTGTCAACATTTCAAGTGTTTTGGAATTCCATTTCAATTTGTTTTGTTAAATTCCATTTTTACACAAAATGTTATGCAAACTCTTTGATCTATTGTTTTTGACAGCAGAAGATCGCCGAGCACAAAAAACACGTCTAACCTTTTCTGTCTTACAAAAAAACGTAAACTTACAAACTGTCTGAAGCTGTGAGCATATATCAGGGACATGTATACCAATATAATAAAAAAAATATCGATGATCGAATCTACGTTGCCCGCCCAATTTAAAAATTCACCTTACTTTTTGAACACACCGCGTATACGTTTATTGTATGAATAACGCATATATTCATTGCTTATACACATACAAGGTGGAGAAATACGATGGAAACACTTGAAAACATTTTGTGAAAAGTGGAGTTTTGTAAACTTCGATAATATTTTTTTTCTCAGTTTTTGTGCCAAATGTTAAGTATGGTTCCAAATATGGTTTCAATTTTAAAATTTCTTACATAGACTGCTACTTTTTATTATAGATTTGAATTCTACATAAAATATTACGCCCAGATATGTTACGTAATATTGAAATAATTGACATTTTGGGCTAGAAAAATATTCTTACTATGAAAAATTTAGATTTGTTTAACATGTTCATGAAACAGCCAACATTTTTATTTTTTACTGAATCAAGTAAAATATTATTTTTATTATTATTATTATTTTTAAAGAAAAATGTTTAATTTCAGGTAATAAAACGTTTTATAAATGTAAAATACTGTCTTGATTCCCTTATGATTTGTTTAAATGATAAATTTTGTAATGATGGAACAAAGGGATTTAGTGATAGATGGAAAATCACTTAATTTTAATTATATTCAGCAACGTTTTGTCAGCACATTTGCTGACCTCTCCAGGCTTTATTAATAAAAAAACATAATAATTTATTAACAATAGAGTTTTCACAAGTAATTTTAAAAGTATATAATTATAAGTATGTGTATACCTGATTTCTCTCGTAGTCAAATTATTATAGGCTAAAACGAATAGATCGTAGCACAGTCAAGTTACAATAAAATGAGAAATCAAGTCCGTATTTCAACCCATATATATACTCTTCATCTATTATCCCTTCCTCATCGATCTTAATAAAGGCTTATAGATGTGGCTAAGATATTGTATATCCTCTTTTCTATTTAACGTGTTTTTATGTAGGCCAATGTGTAACATTTCGAATATTCTTCGTTTCTTATAATTCTTTTCATAATCCAATAATTTAGCTTTTTTCCAGTCAAATTCGTGTGAGAACGTTCTTCTATATGTAGCTACCACTGTATCTGAATCAATGTTTTTTTTGGGTTCGTTTAATCTAATTTTTAAGGAACGTTTACTTTCACCTATATAGACCGCTGAACATTGTTTGCAGTTAAAACTGTAAACAATACCAGTGTTGTCTAATACATCACTTTTTTTGACATGACTACTGTGACATTACCTTTGCGTTTGTAAACATAATGTCTGGATACAATTTCAAAAATTGTTTTGTTGACTTTATTTTTTATGTTTAAAAACGCAGACAAAGATAATGTCACAGTAGTCATGTCAAAAAAAAAAAAAGAATATTATAAAAAATGAATACTTTATTAAAAGACAATATCAGTTTTATCAAAGTTAAATCAAACCCTCTGAAAAAATATTGGCATAATAATGACTTGACTTAAACTGACACAACTATAGCAAAATGCTATGGATGATCAAAAATTCATAAAGCAAACGTGCCACTACGTCCAATAATTTCATCAATTAATAGCCCTACTCACAAATTAGCAAAATTCTTATATAGTGCACTTAAAACAGTTATAAAGAAATCTAACTCTCACATTTTAAACAGTGGACAATTAAAACAAAAATTGAAAGATATTTTTATTTCAAACGATCATGTTTCAATATCATTGGATGTAAGTTCCTTATTCAGAAACATATCGTGTGAT